TACATGACCTGCCCAGTTTCACTTTAGTGTTGTTCTCCTTTCAATAACGTATGTTACTCCTGATCTTTTGCGTATAGTACCATTAAGTATTCTATTACGTAGATAAATCCCTAACATTATTCTCTCCATTGCCCTTTCCGCAACTTGTTGTTTACTCACTGTTGTTCTTGTGAGTGTTAGGGTTACTGCGCCGTAGGTCATCACTGGCAAAATACTGATTAAATACTTTTCTTTTCAGACACATTGGAATCTTAGACCTAAAAATATCCTTCATCTTTCCAAATGCAGCCCAAACGAGGTTTATTCTTCTTTTCAACTCGATTGTTTGGTTGTCTCGATTTATTCTGATCTCATGGCTCAAGTATTTATAGGAGTCAACTATCTTTATATCTTTGTCTTCTACTGTGATGTTTTTGTTGTGTACTAAATTTGTCATAAATTGTGTTTTTGAAAAATTTCTTTTTAATACTAACTCTTTTTGTGGCAGTATGGAGCATTATCTGTTCCTAATCAAAGTTGTCTGCAATAAGAACGATATCATCTGCAAATTTAAGGTTATTTAAAAATTTTCCATCTACATTGATGCCCTTTTCGTTCCAATCTATTGTTTTACAAGCGTATTCTAGCAAAGTTGTAAATAATTTAGGAGACATGTTGTCTCCTTGCCGAACGCCTATTTCAATACGAAAGGTCCCAGTATCTTCATTAAGTCTTACACAGGCTGTAACATGCTGATAGATATATCTGATGAGGGATATATATTGGTGATCTATTCTACATTGTGTTAGAGCTTGGAGCATTTTACTTTGATTGACCGTATCAAATGCTTTTTCAAAGTCGACAAAGACAAGTATCAGGGGTCTATTATATTCAATGGTTTTTTCAATTAACGACTTAATGGTTTGCAAATGATCATTTGTTCCGTATCCAGCTCTAAATCCTGCTTGCTCGCAAGGTTGATAGAAATCTAGTTTTGATGTCAACCTATTAGTTATTATCTTCTTAAACAACTTATAAACGTGAGATAACAAGCTAATAGGTCTATAGTTCTTTAGTTGTTATATCTCCCTTTTTGTGCATGACTACTATAACAGCTTTATTCCACTGAAATTGTGTAACCTCTTTTGAAAGGCATAAGTTATATAATTGTGTCAATGCTTTCAATACTGTCTTTCCTTGTGCTTTAACTGCCTCAATAACGATTTGGTCATCACCAACTGCTTTATTGTTTTTCATTCGATTTAATGACTTTGAGACTTCTTCGATTGTTATTTCTGGGATATCCTCTGAACCCACATTCTGGACTTTTCTCAACTTGGTGCCGTCTCCCTTACCCCTTTCTCTATATAATTTGGTGTAAAATTCTTCAACCATCTTAATTATACAACATGAATATACATAAACAAAAATGAAAAGAATTATTTTTTTATACAATTTTGATCTTCATTATATTGCTGAAATTAATATCTTGGATTGGTTTTATAGGAATTATTTTTAATCAATATATCGGTTATTTTTAACTTTTGGACAAAATCATAAGCACTTTTGCAATTATAATTTCCTACAATTTGTTCTTTGCTTTTTTTAATTATCCCGAGTTACTGTTTCGTTTTTGTGAAATGTAGCCTTTATCTCCAAAAAGCACATAATCAAAAAAAAATCGATCGCTATGCACTTACTGCTGAGACCATTGACAAAAAACTAATCTGCAATAATAATCTTCGACTGTCGATGTAACTGTATGCAGAAGGGATTTACTTTATGTTTACATGGAATTTTTGCTGTTCAAGTTTGACTAAATGTCGTGGTGACGTAAAATTTAATAAAATTATCTAGTTAATTTTATGAACAGTGTAATGGTTTTCATAATAAAATCTGCCCATATAAAAGCTTATTAATAATGAGTTGCAGTTGTTGAAATTATAATTGACATATTAGAATGTGTGAGTAGAAAAATAAATGTACATATATACATTAATAAAAAAAATTCCACTGAATATAAAATAAATTATTCAGAAGTGAATAAACATGGTAATGAAATTGTCCTTTTGAATTTTTAATATATGGTGGGCGATAAAATTATTAATTTATGAGTAAAAGTTTTAACTTACAAAAAAGTACTAAATAGAATATGCTAAAGCTACTCTGAATAATACAAAATAACACTTGGTCGTATTTGACCTACGTAATGTTTTTAGCTGCAGTGTGTAAAACCGTTAAAAAGATGTGTGATCAGAATTTAAGTATCAATAATTTGATTTGCTAAATAGTTTTAAATACCTATATTTACAATAATATTATCACTTGTATTTAAAGAATTTAACAAAGTAAGTTAAAACAACAAAGTAAAAATAAATTCAAAAATATAAAAAAACCGTACAAAAAAGATTTACCACAAAAGCGTAACAGATTAAGAAATACTAAAATATTGCATCAACATTCAAAAATAATCAATACACTAAGATCCATTTTATCTCAGACTTTCTCTCTTTCTGCTTCTAATTTTCACGGTTAAGTCGCGAGGGTCTCTGACACTTGGCCGTAAGATCATTGTAGCGCAAATTAAGCAACTTGAGTACTGAAAGTTTAAGAATCGTTTAAGATTCAATTTTTCGTTAACCAATATGTATGCCAAATCTTCGTGACCTTTAAACAAGCTTACGATTCTTTAGCAGAAAAGCATTGTATGAGACCAGAGTACCTGGAAAGCTGGTACGATTAGCACAGGTGAGCACAGAGAACGCCTCCGCACGGATCAGAATTGGCAGCACCACGTCGGAGGAATTTGACACCGGGCTTAGACAAGGAGATCCTCTTGCCCCCCTACTATTTAATTTTGCAATGGAACATGCAGTAAGGAAAGCTCAACGACAACTGACAAACGGATTTACCGCCCAAGAATCAAAAATACTATTGGCGTTTGCGGATGACGTGGACACATTTGAACAATCCACCAGAGATGCAAAAAAAGTTTTCACCCTATTAGAAAACGGAGCCAAGGAAGTTGGTCTGAAGGCCAAGTACGTGGTAGTTACGAAGAACCCGACACCAAGAGTTAGACAAAACGTAACAATTAATGAATCGAACTTTGAAGTCGTCAAAGAATTCAAGTACTTGGGAGCGATCATAACACCTGAAAGTAAATATGAAAAGGGCGTGGTAGCCAGGATCATTGCAGGAAACAGGGCATATTACTCATAAATGACCGTAGTTAAATCAAAAATACTCTCAATACCAGCAAAAATAAGGGTGTATAAGACAATAATTCGTCCCACAATAACGTATGGAAGCGAGACATGGATTCTGAACCAGCGGGAAACGACAAAATTACTGGTACTGGAAAGAAAGATACTGCGGACTATCTATGGGCCTTGCAGAGAAGAGACAACAGGAGAATGGAGAATAAAACACAATAATGAACTCCTGACTGTATATGGAGATAAAAACATAGTACGCTACATTAAAGCAAACCGAATAAGATGGGCGGGCAACGTGCTAAGATCGAGTGAAGAAAGACTTCTGAACGCCACATTCTGGGAAAGATCCGATGGCAGAAGGTCAGTTGGTCACCCAAGAAAGAGATGAAAGGACACAGTAGCCAGTGATCTACGCAAAATAGGAATACAGCAATGTGAAATAGCTGCTCAGGACTGATAACAATGAAGGGAAATAGTAAACGCGGCAAGACTCACATAGAGTTGTAGAGCCAAATGATGATGATGAATATGTATGCCCCTCAGATCACTAGAGTCAGATTGATAAAGACTCTTCTATCGAGATTCTTTACTAACAATTTTACTTGATCGTTCACTAGCACATCTTCATGCCTCAGCCCTCATATTAAAGAAATCCTGTTATCTTGTGCCAGTTTCCTAAATAGAATTTCTTAAGTAGTCCCTTGCCTGTGTAGGTTAGCAACGCAATAGATTTATAAGCTATTACTCACATAATCCTTCTTCTTCTTATGGTGCCCTATCCAATTAGTTGATGTTGGCGACAATTCTGGCATACTCCTCTCGATCTTAGCATTGAGCTTAGAGTTCGAATGACATCTTGCTACATCATGCCTGTCCTGCTGTATGAAGTGGAAGCGTGGACTCTAACTGAGGCTATCGCTAAACGCTTGACAGCCTTTGAGATGTAGGTATACCGACGAATACTGAAAATAAGCTAGTCGACAGAATTAGAAATGAGGAGGTCCTTAGACAGCTGAACCAAACAACACAACTGGTCAATATAATAAAGAAACGCAAGCTGGAATACTTCGGTCACATTATGAGACACCCTGAAAAATATGATCTTTTACATCTGATCATTCAGGGAAAGATCAAAGGTAGTCGTGGTCCTGGTAGAAGACGAACATCATGGCTTAAAAATCTAAGGCAATAGTACGGAAAATCAACTACATCGTTATTTAGAGCTGCTGTCAATAAAGTCACGATAGCGAATATGGTAGTCAACATGATATCCAACGATCGATAACGGTCATGGAACTAGAAGAAGAAGAAAAAAGAGTACATGGGCATCAATGTTTGTCCGATCCCTTATGTTTTTAAGCCATGAGTATTTCTCTCTTCCGATGCTCCGTTTTCCTTGTATCTTCCCTTCCTGATGATCCTAACAGGATGAAAATAAACCTCATAAGATAATTTAAAGAACGTGTCATAAGACTTTCTCATGTAGACTACCTATAGAAAAATCGTCAATTGTTAAAAAATATTTTGATTGAGAACTCTTATCTTTCGCATATACTACACATGATGCTTTTTTGCAAACTGGTTTATCTAATACTATTTTTTGCGATATCTCAGAACATTGTTTCTAACAATCATAACATGTATTAATATGCATTGCCCTACATACCATCATTAATACCAAAAAACAGTTTTTTTACGATTTGTTAAGATCTTTGTTTTTTGGAGATATTTTCAAAACACTTTTATAAAGATTTTACAAAAAAAAATTGTAATCAATTCACAATATTTATTTACCTTTTTTAGGTTGCATACCAAGTTTTATCACAGGACTGATCATAGCATGGCCGTCACCTTCAATACCAAAAATAGTTAATGATAAAGGTAACTACGACATAACAGAAGAAGAAGCTTCCTACTTTAGTTTTCTTAATGCCACTGGACCAGTATTACTTTCAGTATTTATATCGAAACTTTGCGATACTTTGGGGCGAAAAAAGACGTTAATGTTATCAGCCATACCTCATGCTATAACGTGGATTATGAAGGCTTTTTGTACGAATATTAATGCACTTTATGCAGCAAGAGCTTTGGGAAGTTTGGGTGATACTTTCATGTATAACTCGTTGCCTATGTATATAGGGGAAGTGTGTACTCCAAGGGTTAGAGGGGTTTGGGGCAACGGTCTTATATGCGCCCTCTATCTAGGTCTATTTACTATTAACACCATTGGAGCTTACTGCTCTATAAAACTAACAGCACTAATATGCTTAGTTTTTCCAATAGTCTTCTTCATTCTTTTCTATTTTATGCCGGAATCGCCATATTACTACACCATTAAAGGTAACGACGAAGCTGCTAAAGAATCATTAAAATGGTTAAGAGGCAGCGACAATATCGAAGAAGAATTTGCTAAACTTAAGGACAACGTAAACAAACAAATGGCTGAGCCCAGTTCCTGGAAAGATGTTCTGACGGTAGAAAGCAATAGAAAAGCTTGTTTGGCTGGAGTATTTTTAAGAGTGTCCCAAAACTTTTGTGGTCTTTTAGCGTTTTCAGTGTATGCGCAATACATCTTTGAAAATGCTGGTGATATTATAGACCCTAAAGTTTCTTCTATTTTATATACAGGACTCTCATTTTTATGTTATATAATAGCATCTAATTTTTCTGACAAGCTGGGAAGAAGATTGTCATATATAACATCCATCAGTCTTACTACAATCCCTTTATTTGTCATAGCCATTTACTTTGTTATAAAAGAATATGCTCCTCAACTACACATCACCAATTACGACTTTCTTCCTCTAGTTTGTATGATAGTGTATATTATTTTAGCTTCTTTTGGAACAGGTCTTGTTCCCACATTAATGCTCGGGGAACTCTTTGCCGCTAATGTTAAAGTCAAAAGTTTAAGCATAGTTACCACATTCTTCTCTTTATCATTCTGCGCAGCAAATAATCTCTTCTATTATATTTCCAAGTATTGCGGGATTTTTGGTCCGTTTTTTATTTTTGGTGGCTGTAATATAGTTTCAGCCATTGCTGCTGCGGTAATTATACCAGAGACTAGAGGTAAAACGTTGGAAGAGATTCAGCATCAACTAAAGAAAAAAGGACAAAATAGTAATGCCACATGATAAATATTCATGTATGAAAGTTTTGTATATATTTTATTTATATGTTCATTATTTTAGTAATAGATTTTTTGTAAAAAAAAAGTAATATAAAAATATAAAACGTGTTACTATTTATTTTTTATGTTCAAAAAATGAAATATTGTGATGTAAAACCGTTTCAAAATGTTTATGTGAATTATTTAATAATACAGTTATAAAGACTGCTTGCTGCAAAAAAATATTAGTCGTTATGTTAGTTTTCAAAATATTCTGACATGTTCAGAGACATCAGATGGCGTTAAATCAAGTGAATAAAGAAGACACTAAGGAGTGGCTTGACAAAAAAGTATGAGAGAAGAATGTGACAGTCACATTTTAACCTACATTTGTCTTTACCTCTAAAATCTAATAGATAACATAAAAAAACTCATTGTCTCCAAGACTGAGATGTAGTGCATAAAAGTCCTTCCCCTTTTTAAATTTGATAATTGTTTCGCCCTTCTAAGTGTTTTATGTTCCTGTGTGTTTAAATTGTCCTTAATGGTTTTACCTTTAATATTTTTATATACTTGACTTTGCAATAATCTACCATTTTGCCAATAGAACTTTATCAAAGAAATTTGATAATTACAAGTTGAAAGAATTGCACACCCACACAATTTGTAAATCTAATCTTATTCATTGTCATAATATTGTCACCTTCAAAAAATAAACACTCAAAAATAACACACATTTCATAAATATATCGCTTGAATATGTATAAATAACTTTTAAATAATACAATGGTATATAACATCACTTTCATCTAACAAACAATCACATTACACCTATCTCTACTTCATTGGATCAAATCTATCTCCTCAAGAACTTCCCGTTTATTGTCAAACAACTACAATAGCAGACTTAAGTTCTACATTCAACAATACATGATAGTTTCAACCATGTTTTACCATCCATCAATTAATAGAATACCGGCATGTAAGTAATGTTTTATTTATTTGCCCATTTATTAATTTATTACAATCTAATAGACTTCTTCTTCTTCTTCAGGTGCCATCTCCGCTACGGAGGTTGGCAATCATCATAGCTATCTTAATTTTTGAGGCAGTAGCTCTAAATAGTTGTTTTGAGCTGCATCCAAACCATTTTCTCAGGTTCTTCAGCCATGAAATTCGTCTTCTTCCGATGCTTCTTCTGCCATCTATTTTTCTTGCATTATGAGTCGCAGGATGCCATACTGTTCTTTCTTTAATTGTAAGGTCAATTTCCTTCTCTTTGCCTATTCTTCTCAGTATTTCATTGTTTGTAATTCTATCTACCAGGAAACCCTCATAATTCTTCTATAGGTCCACATTTCAAAGGCGTTAAGTCGTCTCATGGTATCTAGATTTAACGTCCATGAGTCCACTCCATAATATAGTACACTGTATACGTAACATTTTGTTAGGCGTACTTTAAGAGCTAATGTTAGATCTTTGCCACATAGGACCTTTTTCATTTTTATAAAATTAGAACGTGCTTTTTCGATTCTGACTTTGATTTCTGCCGTGTAGTCATTATTTTCTGTTATAAGTGTTCTAGGTAAGTGTACTTTTTTACTCTTTCGATCTGCTGGCCCTCTACTATCAAGATTTCGTTAGTATTATAGTTGTTTTTACAAATTTTCATAAACTTCGTCTTTTTGACATTAAGAGGGAGTCCGTACTCCCTACTACACATGACTATTTTGTTCATGAGTCTTTCCAGGTCTTGTAAACTATCGGCTATTATTACTGTATCATCTGTATATCTGATGTTGTTAATTAAGACTCCATTTACTCTTATGCCGACTGTTTCATCTTCCAGAGTTTCTCGAATTACCTCTTCAGAATAGGCGTTAAATAATAGAGGTGATAGAATGCAGCCTTGCCTGACTCCTCTCTTTATTTCCATTTCTTCAGATGTTTCTTTTTCGATTCTTACTATTGCTCGCTGATTGTAATAGAGGTGTGTTATTAGCCTTAAATCTCTTTCATCTAGGTTTTTATTTTTTAGAATTTCCAGGAGTCGATCATGTTTTACTTTATCAAACGCTTTATTGTAGTCTATAAAACAGACGTAAAGAGGGCGGTTAACATCCAAACATCTCTGTGTCAGCACATTGAAGGAGAATAATGCCTCTCTGGTACCCATACCATTGCGGAACCCATATTGAGTGTCACTAATATCCAGCTCCAGTTTAGAGTGTATCTGGCGTGGATAATTTTCAAGAGAATTTTCAAGGTATGTGACATTAAGCTTATGGTTCGATAGTCACTACACTCTTTGGCATTCACTTTCTTTGGCAAACACACAAATGCTGATGTCAACATTTCTCTAGGAATGATTCCGTAGTATAGATAGCGTTGAAAAGTTCTACTATTATGTCCATGTTTTTCTCGTTGACCAACTTTAGTAGCTCGCTTGGTAATTCATCTGGACCAGCAGATTTATTGGTTTTCATTGAGTTTAATGCCTGACTAACCTCTGATTTGGTTATCTCTGGACCTACATCTCCCGTTTGGCTATCTACAGATGTACTAGCTTCTCTCTGGTCATGAAATAATTCTTCGATGTACTCTTTCCATCGTCGTAGTTTTTGTTCTGTTTCCAATATAATATTTCCATTTTTGTCGAGCAATATATTTGAGGTTCTTCTATTTCCTACTCTGGCTAGTTCTTTGACTTTTTTATGTAGGTTGAAGTTGTCATATCTGTTTTGAAGTTCTTCTATTTCTTTACATTTTTCAGAGAAGTAGGTCTCTTTGGCCTCCCTAATTTTTCTTCTTATTTGGTTTTGAAGCTGTTTATAGCGCGTCTTATTGATGGTTTTGTTTTTTCTCCTTTCATTCATCAACTCTAGAATTTCCTCTGTCATCCATTCTTCTTTCTTACATTTAGTTGTTGTAAGTAGTTTCTTACTTGGCTCCAATATAGAGGTTTTGAAGAATTGCCACTGCTGCTCTACGTTGCAGTTATTTCCTGGGTTTCTGTCTAGATTTGTGTTGATTTCGTGTTTCAGATTTTCTTTTGTGTCTTCTGACTTTAGTTTCTGTATGTTAAGTTTATTGTTATTGCGGCTTTTTTGTGTCTTTTTTAGTTGAAGTTGAAATCTAGCAATAAGAAGACTATGATCAGAAGATACGTCCGCTCCTGGATATGCCTTTACTGCCTGAATTGAGTTTCGATATCTGTGTTTTATTAGGAAGTAATCAATTTGATTTCTGACGATTTTGTTGTCTTTGTCAGCTGGCGATTTCCATGTATAAAGGCGTCGCTTAGGTAATTTAAAGAATGTATTTGCGGCTATAACATTGTGCTCCCGGCAAAATTCTATTAGGCGATCCCCTCTGTCGTTTCGTTCTAATCTAATCTAATAGACTATTTTATAACAATTTGTGGGTCTTACCTTGTCTGTTAAAACTTTTTATACCTTTTTATTCATTTGGAAAACCACAGACATGTAATATTGGCATAATTATTGTAATTTTATAACATCTACCTTGTTTATCTTTATTAGACAACACCCTAATATAAGCTTATTATTATTTCAGCATTTATTTAATTTGTATCGAGACCTGAAGATGCTTTGCATATTGTAAAAAAGCGAAACCGGTCGTCTGATAGTTAAATTAAATTTATTGTGAGTAAGTCTTATTTATTATTTCTTTACCTATTTATATAATGCAGAGAAAATAAACACTGTTAAACATTTTGAGAAATCAAGAACGTTACGGCCTTCTCCAACTGATTCTCCAAGGGAAGGTAAATGGTAAGAGAGGACCGGGAAGAAGACGCATTACCTGGCTTCAATATTTACGAAAGTGGTATAACACGACTACCACTGAAATGTTCCGCGCTGCAGTAAACAAAGTAAAGATAGCCGTGATGATCGCATCGAGCAAAAAGACAAAAGAGGGAATGTAAAGGTAGTGGGCGCAAAAATATTGTTAGACAGGAAGTGCGATCTTTAAAGGCCACATTAAATAAGGAAAGAGAGTCTCTCTCCTTGTTTGAAATCAAATTTAGTTGGGTTATGTTATTGTTTGTCCCAAATGTCACATGAAATCTTATTTATATTGAAGTTTTTAAACAATTGTGGCGCATTTTAAACTATTTCCGTTAATAATTAATTAAAACTTTCTCGTGTAATTTCCTACACTTATTAACAGTACCTATATAATATCTGAAAATATTATATAGGTACTGTTAATAAGTGTAGGAAAATTTAAATTTGACGCACTCGCATTTCCGGATATGTCCGCCATCAGAGGCCACTTTTTTGGTCTCCTTTTCATAAGGATTAGATTCCCTCTTTTGTCTTTTTGCTCGATGGATGATCACCAACATTCGGAACGGATAGGCACTTTAAGAAGAAGAAACATTTTAAAGTGGTTTATAATTTTAATCATACATAATTCTATCAAAAATTGAAAGTATTTTAGTCTCGAGTAAAAATCTTATTTTTTAAAGCACTTCAACTAAAACTAATAAATGTTGATATCTGATGGTATATGGTATAAATCAGTGTATTAGAACTGTGTGTATGGGAAAATAAAACTGCTTTGACTATTTTCCTTACAATTTCTTCATATTTTCTTGAGTTTATACGAAACGAAAAAAGTAAATATATATATATATATATATATATATATATATATATACTATATATATATATATATATATATATGACGTCTGTTAAAAGTCACTTTACGTTTAAATAACTACCACTATTATAGTAGTCTTAATAAAACATTTGTATAAGAGCATAATGTAACTGTTTGTATGAGAAAATAAAACCGTTGTTTCTACTATTCTCTTTATAATTTCATTACATTTTTTTAACCCATTAGACTTTCCTAGGACTTTAATTATTTCAAAACCAAAATAAAGCAAATCGGTTCAGTCATTCTGGATTTATTATAAAAATAAGTTACAAAAACATAAAATGACGTTTGTTAAACGTCATTTCATGATATTTTATATGTAGGTATAAATGACCT